GGGGCATTATCTGACACAGGAGGCATCCAGGCATCCTTCTCCACTGTCAAAACTGTTCCCCTTTAAGTTAGTTATTCTTGAACTTTACCCTTTCCTATCCCAAATGAGTAGCCTGACCACAAAATTGTCATTTAGCTCCTCAGGTTTTTTYCTTTCTCTCCAATGTAATAACTATTGTGTTATTTGTATTCAATGAAACAGCTTCAGCAGGAAYTAATGAAGCAGAGGCTGTTCCTGCGTGTTCCTAAGCCATACACACAGCAGCAGAGCGTTGGTCTGGGAAACTTTCCTGTGACTGTGTGGATTGTGCTGCAGAGGGGAGGGTACCGACTGCTTAAATTCTTTGGGGTGAGTGAGTGAGTGAGTGAGTGAGTGAGTGAGTGAGTGAGTGAGTGAGTGAGTGAGTGAGTGAGTGAGTGAGTGAGTGAGTGAGTGAGTGAGTGACTGCTGCACCTCCGTCCTCCAGAGAGCAAAGCCTAGCAGGTGAGTGTGGGTGAGCTGGAGTGAGGGCCAGCAGTCACAGAGCAAGAACTGCACCCGTACCCAAATGGTTCATGGTCAGCTATCTCCTTCCTGCTCAGCTGATGAACACCTCAGATTGGAAGGAGAACAGGATCCCCAGCTGTCAGGCTGATGAATAACTGAGCTGATTTGCTTGAAGCTCCAATTAACAGCAAAAAGTCTTCTGTAGAAACAAGTGTTCAATCAAATAAAATTGATAATTTTGGGACAGAGAACTAAAAATTTCTTACACTTTCTGCGTAATAGTCTATAAAAGCTGATTTGTTCTCTTTCAGAACCTGAGGATTAGCCCCAAAACATGCTTGAATATAATCTCTGTGAACAGTTTTATTTAAATGTGAAAGGAAAAATAACTTGTCTTGTTCACTCCATTCTAAGTTTCTAGTGCTCACCACCCATGAAATGGATTGCTTTTGGTGRGATAATGTCTTTTCTGTGCCTTCCAAAGTTGTGAAGAATGTCTTCCTGGTTAATAGGTTGATTTAAACTGTATATGCTCCAGAACATAAATATGATTATTTATCATACTTGCCCAAGATAATGACAGTAAAGACGACAAGGMTGAAATTCTTTATGATTTCCTCTCTCCCACAGCAATGACATTCAGCACACAATACACAGATGGCACGCCACATAAAGGATCACATTAGCTGTTAAACATTATTTCTTCCCATTAACTAATTTAACAATATGTCTGCACATGAAAGAAGTAGACAAATTACAAAAAACTTCTGTCAGCTTAATCCYGATTGCTAAAATAGGCCATTTACCCAGATGGGATTGTTTTCTGGACTATCAGGTTTGAAACATCTAGAAATTCAGCAACCACGAGCCCAGACTCTCAGAGTTGATTCAGCTCTTCATCCTTAATTGCATTTCAGGCATGTAAGCCTCTGGAGACTTTTGAATGACAACCTAAATATTGAAGGCTACTCCGTTCTGCGTGCATGTTAGGTGACCTGAATTTTCGGAAATGATGAGCTCTTAGAAGCCTGGTTTAAGTCAGTAGATGCTGTAGGTGACAAAAATCACAGCAAAAGCCCGTGAGATTTTTTTTGCCAGAGTGGGCAGCAGACCAACTTAAACAAGCATTTTTATTTTGTTTTCATTTGCTGCTTTCTAGAGCAAATATGCTTTTAGTGACTTTGAGGCTGGTGGTACTGTGGGGGCTCCCTCTGTAATCACAAGCACGGCAGAGCTGGGCAGGCTCATGATCTCTTTTCATCACCATTTGTTTTCCTATTTTTCTTTTTGCTTCTAAGCAACACAGGAGTATGGAGGGARCTCATGGATTATTAAGCATTAGCCCACAGGCTAATTTTAAGTACATACATGCCCTCCGTTATTCCTATAACTAAATGTGACCAGAAAGTTGGAGAAAAATCAGTGGAAATGAAACAGAGACCAGCTGAAGAAYAATTTGAAACAATTTGAAACTCRGTGTGGCTATTYTACATTACCCACTTTGAATAGCAGTGTTGCAAACATCTTCTTAATTTACTGTAAGTTTTTGCAGAGGAAAAGTTGAYGATGAAAATAAACTTCTGTTTTGTTCTTGCACTCCCTTGATAAAGAGAGTAAGCAATTTTTTTAAATAAAAGAAAGCAATTAGGGAGTCCCTGACCCAACTTTTGTGCCAGTATCTACTTCTAGTATTTAACTCTAATCTTTTTTTTTTTTTTTTTAATGTCCTTTATCTGCTGTTGTTTTTAGCCTGATTTCATTTGCTCAGTTTCAATAACTACATACACTATAGTATCTAGCTGGTATTGGTATACTAAGTACTTTTCCCTCTATTTGTTCAKCATTGTGTTGTGGTTTCCAGTAGCTCTTTGCTAAATAATTTCATAAAAAGAAAAAATGACCCATCACAAAACCAGCAAATTGTTCACTGAGTGAAGAGAGCCGCACAGTGCAGTAACAAATAYCCAAGATCTCCCTTGGTTTTCATGTCAAATGAGACTAGATTTATTCCTACATTATGCTTACAATTCTGTACACAAACCCGTATCTAGAGAAAATCCAATTCCAGCCAAAAACACAGAATAAAGTTTGGAACGATGATCTACAAATTCCTCTCTCTTTGAAACATGTTTAATATTCAGCCTTATACCTCAGCAYGGATTTATTTCATCACTCTGTACTTGCCCTGTAAGTGTGATTCTATGTTAAAGATTTGTCTGTRTATTTCACTATGTTTGGATTTTTTGAAGAGCATCATATGGCATGTCCTTGTGACTGGGTGCCTCCCAATGTAATTCATTTGTCATAAGGGAATTTTTTTTATATATAATACAGCTACATTAATCCAGTGGCTAACCATTACCAGAAGGAACAGTTCTCTTGTGCCAAGACTTACCACCTACGTAAACCTCAGAGCTCTGAAGTACCAGAAGACCACTCATTTTCTTTCTGAGTTTCTCCTGAACTGTGTCCACGTGCAGTCACCGTGCTGATGGGGGTAAGCAAGGCTAAGGACAGCTCTCTCCAGAGGCAGCCAGCAGGTAGGACAGATCTGATGCCTTGTACTACATTTCCAGGGACAGCCACTGGCTTTAGTACAGTGCAAGCCACTCTCTGGCCAGCCTTTCTCCGTTGTACACTCAAGGCACTTTGGATGACTGATTTAGGTGAGTTATTTAAATAGAGAAAGATGACCCAAAGCYCCACCTTAGAAACTGAAAGTAATCTGAAGGACATTGTGCTATTTGCATTTATTTAGTTTACTTCAGTATTTGACCAGCTATAATGACACAGCTACTTGTTAAACTTGGCAACTCAGCACTAATAAGCTTAAATGTAGGCAAAGCAGGTATCACCACTCACATGAAATAAACAGAAATATGGAAATAGTACCATTTTTCATGTGTGTATGATGGCAGTATTCACCACAAATTATTTAATACTGAATTACAAGTATCAAGCTCTGGAAAAGACGTCAACCATTACACTTCAATTGTTTTAAAGCTATTATTTTAGTGTCATGTTTCATAGGAAAACCATACTTCTCTATTATTCATTTGACATTTAGAGCTTTTTTCTTTCTTAGAAATATAAAGACTTAAATCACAAAAGACAGGTTTTAAGAGGACTTTATTAAATCTGACAACTGACTAACTGGACTGTGTGAAATTAATAAGAAAATTTGATAATTGAGCAACAAAGGATTGTTCTMTGATAGCACATTTTATTTCTGCAGTTTTACAGGTCTTCAGTTCTGCAAATACATTTGAGTAAGACATCACTCTTTCTAGTTTACACCCACATTTCATGAGATTACTGCAGTGTGGAAAATGTCACATTGCTTCTCCTCGTAGAAGAGCCACAGAAATGACTGGAACACACAAAGTTAGTCCTGCCCATGCACCTTCTTAGCTGTAAACATTTGTGTAGGACTGACTGGGTGTCTATTTTATACCTTTTCCACTTACAATTTGAAATTATATACAAATATAGTAAAGTCTTTTATATAAACTATAAGATTCATTATTGTGGGAGCCAATATTTAAAAAGTTAATACCGAGGGAACAGTGAACTTTGTAAAGATCTCTTCTGATGCTCTGCAGAGGAGCTCATAGGTAACTACTTGCATATTGCGTTCTAAACTCACCATTCAGACATATAAAATAGTTGGTATACTTTCTCTGTTGCAAATTTAAATAACTTCTTTATTTTTGAAGAGTGCACTATAAACTTTATCCTCAGGCTCAGWAAGAGATCTGTTATGATTGACTCTATAGTTATATTCCTAATAGGACAAGCCACTGAAAGTCTGTTCTTGTTTCCTAGAGAAATTTTRTATTCTTGAAATGCAGGATGGCACAGGAGTTTACTGGGATTATGTCCATATATTTAYTAATCAAGATCCGTTTCTTCTGTAAGCCTTCAAAAAAGTCTTTTTTTCCAGTTGAATCCAACTTGGAGGGTTCRTTTTCTCACTATACCAAACATGCTGAACTGTACAGTATAAATTGGTTTGGTTTGAATTTCCTTGCTGCTAGATGTTAACTGGCTTTCCCAGGCTCACTGCACTTGTTCAGTCTCAGTCTTCTTTGTTAATCAGAGGGGACACTTCTTCTACTTCTGCTCCTGTTCTTGCTGAAAGAGGCATTCTCCAAATGGCTCTGAGTCTTTCACTTGGATTTAAGTAAGTTTTCCCATTCAACAGAGGACTCACTACTTTTAGGAATTGCTGGAAAGATTGACTGCATTTTAGTTCGAAATTCTTTCATCTATWAAAGAGATATAAAAATAAAATCGGTTAACTGCTAATAAGGAACAAATAAATTACCACCATGAATCCCAGGCTTATCCCACAAAAAAAAAGCTGTTTAAGGTAACGAATAGGTAAAAAGCTTTTAAAATAGCAGAAAATTAAGACTTTGCCTCTGATTATGTTGGTTCAATTAACAAACTAAAAAGAAAGCATGAAGGGACCTACAACAATCACCCCTTCCAGTGCAGCGCACTGGGGTGCCTGTTTTGGAGTGCTTGCCTGAATGATCCACTACTGTTACATGAATTACTGTACACACATATACACACATACACTCTGAAAATATTTTTGTTTGGAGTAGAATTACCTCCATGGAATGTACCCCTGTTTTGACTGCAGTGCCTTTTTCTACACTTGTAATGGATGAAAGGTTCAATAGGTCTGTTCAAGGATTTTAAAACAAAGGCTAAAGAAAAATACTCTGCTCAGCTCTGACAGCTTAGGTTTATCCCACCATATGGATAGAGGTGACAAAACAAAGGCTCATTCAAATGTACATACCAGTAGGAAAGAAAACAAGATTCTAAATATATAGGACCAAGCTTTTCTTTCACTATTGTTAAAATGCTGTGAGAGGAAATATGTATATATATATATATATATTTAGGATATTTATAATTTATATTTATGCTAAGAATTTCATCACCGAGGTCTGATTCAATAGTCTGGAATGCCAGAACCGAACATTCATCTAAATATAAATGACTTATAATAGATTATTTAGATTCAGTAAGCTTCTATCTTTCAGGAGTTTTACATGTATTTTTACATATAATATATTTTTAAAGGATAGGCATGGAAAAATTAAATCAGTGAGAATCCTGTTACACAAACAGCAGGATGTACAGGGGAAGATTTGGCTGCTATTTTTAGGAAGCTCTATGACACAATCTATGACATTCACACAGAGAAGACAGGATGTGGTATTCAAGCACTGGATGCAATGACCTCTTGAAGAGCAAATGCTGTCTCAGGCAGTATGTCCCACAGAGAGGTTCCAGGAAATCTAGATATTCTGAACAGCCACACAGGCATCTACTCTAATATGACTACATTTTGTGTTAYGGGTCATCAGTATTTATACAAATACCTCTGGGTTGTTTTCTCTTCATGTCCTTCTGTGTATGAATAATTCTGACAAAGAATTGGTACTGCTCTAGAGACAYGCTACTGGAACACAATTATTCAAGTTACAGTTGATGCAAAGAATGAAACAATTTACAAAGAAATTACCAGTCCTTTAGAAAGACAGTGGCAAACCATGATGGATTAAAGCATTTCAGAACCTTAGTTTTTCGTGTAGTAATTCCTGGGTGCTGCTAATCAAATGAAAATATATGTTATATAAAGTAGGAGGAAAATTCAGAACAAAATTATCCTTTTTGCTTTTTCCTGATTTCATTCCTAAGCAAAACTAATTCACTCTCTCTTTTATATTTCGTTCTGATCAGATAGTTGTTTTGATTAATTATTCCTTCTTGGTCTCTAAAAATCTTGGCAATCACCCACAATTGTTCCTAGACTAACATTTTTGCTTGTTATTTAAAACTGAGAGTCTCTCATAGACAACTAATGTTTCCAAGAATAATAAACACCAGTATCAGAGCTGACATAAAGTAACAGCCCAAATTACACTAAACAATTGCTGACAATTAAATACAAGTATTTACAGTACTAAATGTTTTAGGAGCTTTAGCTTAGCTGCTTTTTCCAGTCCTATGTAATTAAGTTATCCCAGCTCACTGATGTGCTGAAAGTATTCAATTTACTGAACATTTTTTTTTGCTTCCTAAAGAGTGATTCAACTCTTCTACTGTTTCATCTCACTCTAAGTATTATCTGGATGTTTGGAACACAGGAATGGTCAGATACCAACCTGATGTAAAATGCCATAGTTCTGTTGAAATAACTGGAGATACAATATTCAGTACCARCCAACGATCTGGTGGAATGTGGATTTTTTCTAATGGTTTCTAAACTCAAGACTTAAATTTCACTTAGTGTAAAATTTAAATGATGCACTTATGCACCTCTGTTGCCCCACTGAAGACACACAAAACCAAAGGGAAAGTAAAAGCAATTCTATAAAACCTCCAAGAAGAAGATGGGTGGAGAAGCAATTCAGAAAACTACAGTGATTCCTCACTCTGACAACCACCATATACTTATTAACATGCCAAACCCTAACTCTTGAATGCAAAACACAGTCTTGTTCRGGAAATAGAACACTACAACTCTAGTCTGAAAGAGAAAAGGTATTAGAAAGCACTGAAATACTGCTAGCAGCTGCAGATTTAAGAATATTAYATAGATTTCTGTCCCCACAGAACATTAATTTATGTTCTACAGGTAAAAGCAACTAATTTCCTGGAATGTTAATTTTTCCTTTAACACATGGACCAGATCCGAAATATTCAATGTCTTTCTTTTGCTTTTAAGACTCCCTGAGACATTTCCTCAGCCTTGTCCTCTCAGATTTTGATGCTTATTTGTAAAACCACTTTGAAAGTGATGCCAGACTCAATGTTTCATTTACCACTTCTTCTCTTGCCTGCCCATTTCCACAAGCTCTCTCTGCACAAAAATAGTTTTTCATTGCAATGCACACCTTTGACCATGTTTTACGTTTTTCCACAGATTTTCTTCCTTTGTGATTCCTGGACAGTGATCTATTTCAATAAACTGTAATGCCAAGCTGATCACTACTGTGCATTGTCTTCTCGGTGAAACACTTTAGGCTGTCAGCTCTTTCTCAGAGTAACACTTGAAGTTGTCAGCTCTTTAAGAAGGACATTACCTGCAGTGACTGGCTCATTAATACACGACTTCACAGCATGTCTAAAACAGGGCCAATTTCTTCCCAATACAAATGTCACAGCTCCTAACTCTTACTAGAAGTTTTCACTTATATAGCCCTTAAAAGATACTGATACTGCACCTGRTTATTTCTCTTCACAACAGTTTTTGAGTTCTCACTAATTAGCACCAGTCAGAGACTCATATTTTCCCCCTCTCCTCCCAGTCAAAAAGTGCAATATTTCATWAGGACTTTGATCTGGACCTCTAAGGTATATTCCCCTTTCTCTCTTTTTCTACTAAAAAAATCAGCTTCTGAGTTTCTTCCTTCATTTCCACATTCATGCTTTTGCTCTCCCAAATGCACTTTCAAATCCCAGCCACTGTCTTCCCTGAACTCAGAGCTCCTCTAAAACTCACTCTTCCTTAAACCACAGAGAAAGCTTTGAAAAAGAACTATTCTCTGATGTCATGGAACTGGAATATACCCACATAAATAACCATGGAAATTGCATCCCAAAGTTCCTGTCCTTTCTCTCCCGCTGACAAGGTTTGCCTGCTTACAAACCATTCTAATACCCCATTTTAGGCTGTAACTTGTTAATGGATGAATTTTATGCTCTTAGAAGTCTTCTCCATTCTGATTCTTCCAGTCACAGACATAGAGCTCAGTCTTCTGGGCCTTGACTGATCGAACTCTATTTAATGTATTTTATATTTAGGACTAGATTTGGCCTCTAAAGTACCTCACACTGGCTTCAGGGCTGCTCTTACTTGCACTTAGTTGATGCTGTCATGCCAGGCCCATTGCAATTTCAAAATACTCTTGCAGTGAAAGTAAAATTCATTAGTCCTTCAACAAACTGAGCTTATTAGCATTCAGTCCTCCTGCAGCATGGTGAGCTTCTTGTGAAGACGACTGATCAGCTTTATATTCTATTAATAGTGAACACTTGAGGTGTGAGAAYTGGGACCTTGTCTTTACTTGCTTTAACTCTTGGGACAGACACACTTCTTAATGAGGGAAATTCTGCAATTAGGAACCTGTGTCTTTTCAGAAAGAAAAGCAAAGGCCCTGCCTTTTCAGCAGACGTGCCACTCGGGAGATGTCTTCTCCTCTTTCTGGAAATCTTCTGTATTTTCCCCCAGATTCCACAATATTCACATCGGTGGTCTCAAATCAAAAGGTATTAGTTTRATTACAAGAGCTAATGTGCTATATACCAAGCACTGGAATGTTTTGAAATAACTCACAGGAATGGCTGCCTCTTTATTATTGTCAGCCACACTGGCACTGGGGTACTCGGTTCAACTGTGATAATGCCTTCAATTAATAGCGCAATAAACCTAACACTAAAAGCTGAATGTATTTTACCTCTTCCTGCTGCCTTCAGTACCATAGGCCACTCTCAACTGCTGCTTCTGAACCTTGTGGAATCTGAGCGATTTGTAACACATTTCTTAACATTCCAGCATGCTCCATTCCTGCAGGCGACTCTCTTAAGTGAATTTCACTCRAGTGAATTTTATTTTTTGTCACAGATATTACAGATCTTGACGCTGTTTTTTCTTGCCAAATAAATTACAGTAACTGTTCTACCTCTGTCAGGCTTCTTTCTAAAAGGGTATCATCTACCTTACTGCATTAAATAATCTGTAATAGCTACAGATCACTGTTATTTTCTTATCTTAACCTAATGATCCTGCCTCAGATGGCAAAAATATGGGGACCTAAAAGCATCTTCCATTTAATAATCTCTTTTTAATGTACATCGTTGACAGAATGTCACACAAAAATTGGGATAGCACTATTACTGAGAGCACTTACATGGCCGTTCATATTAAAATGAATGGAAGAGGGGCTAAAAGAGTCTATTTGAATCCTAGAATGAAAGTTTTACGAAGAAATGTTCTCTTTAATGTCTGACATTCATAACAGGCCAAACCAGATTCCAGGAATTATTAGTTTCCTATTTTAGTAGTCATATCAGTAAGAACTGCTTAYATTAGCTTCCAAGTGAAATGAGGTTAGATGCCCTGAACTGGAATATCAAGTGGTAGCAGAATGCAGTATGTACATGCCCTCTGCTCTCCTCAGCCACCTTCTATTTCACAAGGCATGAAGATGAGGCAGTCTGCACTGGCTTTAAAAGCATCACT